AGCACCTTCCAGTACCTGAAGGGGCTACAAGGAAGCTGGGGGGGACTTTTTACAAGGCCTGTAGTGACAGGACAAGGGGTAATGGGTTTAAACTGAAAGAGAGCTGATTTCAATTAGATATCAGGAAGAAGTTCTTCAAGGAGAGGGTGGTGAGGCAGTGGAACAGGTTGCCCAGAGAAGCTGTGGATGCCCCATGCCTGGAAGTGTTCAAGGCCAGGCTGGACGAGGCTTTGAGCAACCTGGTCTAGTGGAAGGTGTCCCTGCCCATGGCAGGGGGGTTGGAACTAGATGGTCTTTAAGGTCCCTTCCAACCCAAACCATTCTGTGATTCTGTGGCTTAAGCACAACAGCTAATACGCCAAGAATAAGACCTCCTTGCATATTCCTTTCCCTTTTACTTCCAGGTAAGTACTGATAAACACTAAACTTGATTTTGTAAAACGAACAGGAGAAGATGTTTAGAGAACAAAAAAGTATTTTAAACCACTGCCAAAATACAGATTACTATTTCCTATGACTTGTAAGCAACATGCATTAAACACAAGGTGTGTGATAACATACTAATACATAACCTCCAACTATTTGCACAATCTACATGTGAAATCATGAAGATGTTTTACATATCTACATAATAAAAGGAAAAAAAGCCATGCAGGATTAGCAGTTATTTTGTTTTACCAGTGCTTCAGTTCTACTTTCAGATCAGTTAGTTCATTTCTCATTCTACACTGCACATATACTTTAAAATCAACTTCTGTAGAATACACCTTTTAAATTTGATGACTACAAAACTTAGCATCTTAAGAAATGCTTACTTTGTATTCAGTTACAGAGTCTAATTGGGCCAAAAACATGTTACAGCAGCTTATAGAACTGGTGTGTTTTTGAACTGATGTCAGATTCAAGTTACAATTAAATAGTTACTGAGAAAATGCATTTGGAATAGAAAATTAAACTGTGGTATGACAACTAACACACACTAGATTCCGAAACACAGGATCACCAAGATACCTACCTGAAAGCTCATCACACTCTAAGCCTGACCTGGTTGTCACTGTCCCTTTTGTAAACAAAGGAACAGTTATATAGAAAAGAAGTTGCTGAGGAATTCTTACCTTTTCATAGATTTTACTGATTTCCTCATTCGAGCTGAAGACCAGCTGAACTGACCCACAACCTGATGCCCAAACAATTTTTTGTACTGCCCTAATAACACAGATATCAGGGATGTATTTTGAAGCCTGGAGAGGAAAAGCAAACAAACAAACAAAAAACCCCAACATTAAAATGCAGTTGCAAGTAACATTACAGTGGATTCTAAATTATCACAAACTTAACTTTTAGAAACTTTAAACAAAAAAATCTTCCTTAAATAGAAAAAAATTATCTATCTTGAAAAGCATTTGCACTTGACTTATGTAGTATTTCATTTTTAATAGTAAGTACCGTGTATGTTAGATATATTACAGATTCTTAATTTGTAATGCTACAAGTACCAGGGATTACAAGAAAATGATCATTTTTGATAAATAACCAGCAACTCTCATTCTGAGCAAGATTCAGCAGAAACTACGAACTTCAATGATAAAACATTCTTTATCAAGCCACCAAGCATGCATCTGGAAGGCAGCTGACCTCTTCAGTAATGTAAGTTATTTTTAAGTAACTGAAGTTATGTTAGGGTTTCGCCCTGCCATGGTATTCACTGTGCTAGCTGATAGCTGTCTAGACATACTAATGGTGATGAAGTATGTGATTATAATATAAAGAGATTGTTCTATATTCAAGTTACACAAGGTTTACAATTAGTAAGAACACAGATCACAGATCTTATGAATGCAGAATCACTCTTCAGTATTTTGGGCATGGTCTGAGTTAACATCCAATAGTATCTATTGATATACATGCATTACGAAACATACTACAACTGCCATTATGCACAGCTTGCATCAACTTCCAAAAAACCCCAAACCTATCTGCAGTCTATATTCAAAGTAGAAAAAATAGGAAATCTTTAAAAGCAGACGGTAGACAGTTCTCAAAAATATCAGATTTAATTTTTCTACTGGTCAGACTTAATAAGAAAGGAGACTCTAAAAAGCTTAGCTAATAAAGCTCGCTGCATCAGGAAATCTGAACAATGTGCACTCTTGCTACTGATGGACATTAACAGTAGTTGCAAGAAAAATAATAGGTATTTCAACTTTGTCACAAGCAAAGCAACCTTACAAGAACACCATCACAAGAAAAAGTTGTCACACAGAAAAAGAACTATTTTTAAATGTCATTGTCATTTTAAAATCTTGAAGTATCAATATTTTTTTAAAAGGTGAAATATTTCTTTCCGTCCTGTAGTCTTCTGTCCGGCCTATGAAAACCATGCCAGATTGTGTTTTGTTTTGTGTTTGGGTTTTCTTTTTTTTTTTTTTAAATTGTGAGGTCAGTTGAAAAGAGTGTTTGGCCATCAAAACATTAAAAGAAAAAAGAAATCTTTCAAAGGCAAACTACAGTACATTTTGGAACTACCGTTTTTATCAGTTCAGAAAATTACAGACAATATTTTAACAGCAATATTGTTAAAGAATTCCAGGACAACTAAAAGCCTTTTTTCATACCTCACCTCAAAAGACATTAGTTCTGTGGAAGGAAGGAATTTAATTAAATCAGAATTGAACCGGCTGACTTTACAAACACAATCACCTATGGATGTAATACCACCGCTACTGGAAGGCAGATGGTTCCTTCTTGCAGTCTAGTACACCACGCTTTCTTTGGACACTCCAATTGCACACAAGAACTAACATACTTTTCAGCATTAAGATAATCCAACACTACTTTTATTTAGACACCCGAGAAATGTTTCGGGGATAGCTTTGCAGAGACTCCATACAGCATAGAAAAACCAACATTCACTGCTTCCACAGTGGAAAACTAGGGAACCCGATTCACCATGGAAGAGAAAGTCATAGTAGTTCTGACTTTAGTTTCTGCTGAATTCAGCAGAATTCACTAATGTATTCACCAGCACAACTCACAATTCCAAATCCAAATGGGGTACGGTCATACCATACAGATAAGACTATTATATTTGCAAAGCCCTACTGAGCTCCACAAACCATTTTTTTTCCACTTACATCATTAGTGCATTTTCAGTACATAAAGATATACTGTCACTTATCTGAGACTTTCATCTTTCAGCATTTAAAAAAAATCACACTCAAGATTTTAAAAGTCCCTCCCCTTGTCTATGTTTCTCTGCAGGAAGAGAATGTTACTCAAAACATAAAAGACCCCAAAATAGAAGAAAGTATCACAAAAATGTTACCAAGATACACATTAACTTCTTTAAATCTATTACATCAAATTCCTAAAGTTCTGATCTAAGTGCTATCAATAGTCACAGCCCATGAAGGAAGCTTGTACAGAACCTGCCTAGTTCACTTAAGGCTCTTCATGACATTGGACACTGAATTTCCTAACTGCGAATGGATACAATTCACTCAATATTTTAGATCAGTTAAGAGCTTATGAACCATATGAACATTACCTAAAATGCTTCATGACATTTTAGACAGAAAATCCATGTCTTACAAAGCAATATATTTAAGTATTAAAAAACCCGCAAACAAACAAAGAAACAAAGAAAACCAGGAAACAAAGGTGATACAAAGGAATTCACTAACCTCATCAGATATTTGCTGTGCAAGACGTATTGCTACATTTCTTAGCATGCATTCTGAAGTCGGATTAGGAATGTTTTGTAGGGCATTTTGTAGCACCACTGCCTGGTCATGCGTAGCCTGGTTTATCTGCAAAAAAGTATTTCTTGTACTTATTTTACATGTAAAAAAGAAAGACGTGAAAGGGTTTGATAGAAGTAGGTAAGATCTTGGAAGGAAAACTACTTACAGAAACTGCAAACACCAAGAAAAAGAAGCCCCCCTCATTCTCAAGTGGATACCATCACATCTGAACACACTGCATGCTACACTGTACGATCTTACAAGTAGTCGAGAGGCACTTGCTTAAAACTACTTAGGTTTGGGGGTTTGTTTTTTGATCAGATTATTTCAAGTTCACAGAATGTTTAGAATTGCTACGTCTCAATCCCATTCTGGTGATTCAGGAAAGAAAGGGTTTGCTAAAGCAATGACTCTTCCTCTGAAATAGCTAATAGTGTCCAGACAGACCATGGCTGCCATGTTCACTACAGTTAAGGACATGTTAAACATTTGTGTCAGAGCACTGTTGAAGAATTCTCTTCCGAATTATCCCTCCTGTTCTTTATCATACTTTCCCATCAGAAACAGCAGCAAGACAAGTTTTTATCCTTTCTGTATTGGTTTGAGTATAGAGCTCCTTATCCCTGGGCTGACAGAGCTCCACAGTTCTGAAGCACAGTTCAAACCTGAGTGTTTGTTTCCTTCTCACAGCTGAGAACACCTGTATTACACTTTCCAACTCTGAGAAATCTTAGGGTAGGACACTTTTCAACTATCAACACGTAACTTTGCTATGTACCTAGCTATTCCCTAACAAAATTTTCTACAAGCAATGGACAGAATTAGGAATCTGGCAGGCCAAAGTCTTATTTTTGTGTAGAAAAAGGGCTGGCACGACTCAACGTCAGTTCTGTTGTTTTATGCTCTGATCATAAATAGGAGATACGAGAAATTCAGAGGCACATCCTTCAATAGACTCAACAGCTCAGAAGAACCAGAATTTGCATTTATGGGATAGATGTACTTGAAAACAGAAAGTTATCTGTAACTAATCATGGAAGACATTGAAAAGTCATATACAGAGCAAGTGGATCTCAACCCTAACTTTCCCAGAGTCAGAAAGAAACCGGATTTTTTAGTAAGTTGATTTCTTTTTCAGACTCATCAGACCACTTTATCTGAAAGTACCATGAGTTCTTGACACGCAGCTCACTCAAAGAGGACAACACAAAAACGAGAGTACATTGCTATTTGCAGCCAGGAAGATTTGTATTACCGGTGAAATTGTACTTGTGCCTTCCACAACTGGCTGACAAGCTTCTGCCACAGCTCGAACATGGCCATATCCAATTGCTGTTAGCAATAATTTGGCTATTTTTAGAGCGTTAAGGTAGGCACCCCTTCGAGTTTCCATATCTGCATTTGGCAGGAAGTTATTTCTAGTCAGCATGCTCAGTACAAGAGGCAAACCACCACTTTTTAAGAAGTTGTATTGGAAGTCGCTGGCATCTTCTCCCAGAGGTGCGCTGGCAGGCATTAACAAGGCATAAACTACCTGTAGAACAAAATACAGAGGTAACTTACAGAAATGCAATAGCTTGAATATAGATGACTGCACATGAGACTATGTTGGAATAGTACTTAGCAATGCTTTGACAGCATTGGCCATACACCAGTTTGATCCAGTAAACTGTTAAGTATCTTCAATTGTTAATTTCAAACCAGAATTTGATCTTAGGCTTCGATAATGTTATCCATAGGATTGTCAAAGGGAGAGTTGAACAGTTTTAAGGAAGAGGCAAAGCATCACAAACCTCTGTTAGATACAGCACTTGTGAGGCAGAAGGACCAAAGAACAGAGAATCGAGGGATGGACTAAGGCTGCTTTCCCCAAGCTTTGCGTGATCTAAACAAATAGCTCTTAGTTTCTCAACCGTAGTGTTATCTGCAATAAAAACACAACTTATAAACATTCTGTAACAAAAGTACTCCAGAACAAAGCCGTGGTATTTACAATTATAAATCTGGAAAATGTTGTGTATCAGAAAAGTTGCAAAAAATTTAACTGACAGCCAAGATCAGACTATGAAGTGTTCTGCAGTGATTATTTCTGTCAGTATAAAAGCGATCCTTTCAAAGCAGTGCTACAAAACCACTTCAAAATACAATGGTTCTCCCCATTTTCACTGCACTGAACTGCACTGTGGCACTGAACTCCAACTCAACTGCAAACTATGCAAATTTATGCGACAGACAAGAAATAGCTACTTGGGAAATACATTTACAATCCTAACTGGGGTAACAGTTGTGAATTACAGTATCAATAAATTACAACATAGGGAAAAATACTCCCCTGACTTCATTTTTATGTAACAGGTGTGAAATTACTATACAGGATATTACAAGATAAAACAGTATAAAATTAAGTTTTACCTGGTGGCATGAGCTTCATAAGAACACGTGCTCCATCTCGAAGAGGTGGCATATTTAGGCTACTGCCCAAGTCTGCAACTTGCCAAAGAAATGAGATGTATCGAGGGTGCAGTGACATGATCTTAAAATAAGCATGAAAAAAGCCCATAAAAAACATTAGTTAAAGACAAAGTAGAGGGAAAAAAATGCTTTTAAACTGTTGATTTCAGAATATGCTTACCACTCCAGGCAAACAGCTTTCAACTTCTGGATTTGGACCATCACTGTAGTGATTGCCATGGTTGCCCGGAGAACCAGTTGAAGAGTCAGAAGAACTATCTGGACTTGAGGGCATATTAGAATTTATCTGTGTAAGCTTAGCTGTAATTAGCTGAAAAACACAAGCATGGTTTTAATACTCTGCAAAAATGAAGATTCTTCATTAAATAAGATTCTGATATAATGCAAGCTGCATAATACAAGGAGGAGGAATGGAACTATATCACAGAATAAGTGACCCCATACATGGTAGTTTTCAAGCCTTTGCAAAAGGGGGATGACATCTAAACTGACATAAATAATCAACCTGCAACACTTACCGTTTTATCTTTGAGATTCAACTGCCCAATTAATTTTCTATCATCTGCAGGGTCCACGAGCTCACCACCGATGAACAGTTCTACTTTTGTGTGCGCACTATTGGCTTTAATACGATTGAGAATACAACGCCGTACTTGGCCAATGGTGTCGTTTGTATGAGACCAAATATCTAAATCTTCCACCTGTCGGCCTTGGTTTGGAAAACGAACTACCAGTGTGATATGTTTACCACGGAAAGCTCTGAAAATAAACAAAAATATAAAGTTAATTTTTGTCCTCATTAAATAAATTATTTTTCCTGATGTGTTTTATGTTGCAGATTATTTCAAGTGGAAATCTTTACACGTGGTGATATACTCCAACATGAGATTACCTCGTGAATGCCCAAGCTATAATGCAAACATAACATACACAAACACTTGCAAGAAGCCACACTCTGACCAAGCGCATTAAACTTATGACAGAGTTTTTGAAAGTCTTTAATGCAGTTTCAGGTCTTTTTGCTTGCTTGTAATTTCCTGATCAAAATGTGCAAAAAGCTCAGACTGGCAACTGTGTTTTGCTCTTTTAGCAAAACAACTGTCTTAGGCCCAACAAACCGATCTCATGCAACAAGAGAAGGCAAAAATTCCTTATAGAAGCTCCTTGCTAACAAGACCTGTAAAAAAATTAAGTCTAATCAAATAAGCAGCCCATATAAAAATGATGCACCTGTGATCAACAAGAGAACTTAGTTAGGACTAACCAATCAATATATAAAATAAAACTGCTGTAGGAGCATTGCAAATTACTGACACATCATGAAGAAACAGCAATCTCTCTGATTTTCTTGACAAAATGGGGACAACAAACCCCCACCATGTCTAAATATGTTTCAGCTGCATCATAAATCCATAGCAATCTGAGTGTATCCCTTATGTATTTTTGAGACTTTCTTCCCACAGAGAGCTGGAAGTTTCTTCCCACTAGAACTGTACTATTTAATCAGTTTTCTCTTCTGCTCTCCTCTCTTAGGAAATAAAGTATTTTGCATCAAGTATTTTTGAAAACATCTACACAACACTGGATTTAAGTGTATCCTTTTTCTTTGTCTGGAAGACAGAATTAAAAAAGGAATAGCTAGGATTTAAGCTAAGTTTTTACTCAAGAACAAGTTTAAGAGTGAAGTTATACAGAAAAATACACTTCAAAGCCACGTTCTCTTCTTCTTTTCATGAGGAACTTAGACGGAATATTTCACTTAGACATAACACTAAATTTGAACTTGCAGATTAAGATTAGCATCTCTGTAAACAACTCTGAAAGATGGAAGATATACATTAACAGGATGGATTTTGTATGACGCAACTATGAAAAACAAAGCAGCTTTGCACATACTAACTTAAAGAATGGTATTGCTTTTAAATAATTATCCAAAAAAAGAAATACATCCAAAGCAACCTAGCCTCAAGGTACACTGTGCTAGTTATACAATGATACACCAGAAACAAGTTTATTCTCCGGCCTGCTGTCCCTTTCATATATGCCTGTATTTGCCTGATCTTTCAATTTTTTTATTTTACTACAGATCAGTTTCATGTATTTGCAAAGAAAATACAATCTCAAAACTCTACAAATGCATTCCCTGAATAGAAACCCTTTAGAATGCAAAAAATAACTAAGACAATTGCAATAATTTAGTTACAGAAATAAAAATCACAGTAGTGCATTTTCACACATACCTTGACATAGGCAGAATGGTTCTCTCTTCGTGGTAATCACTGTCACATTCATTTATATATTCCCTTAAAACAGTCAACACTCTCACCATTCGTATTGCTTCTTGTCTTGCACAATTTATACTGTCTTTATCTCCATCCAACACACATAAAGTATCATAAGAAGCTTTTAGACGATCAAAACAGGACTGAATGAAGTCTTCGTGAATCACTACCTAATTACATTAAAAAAATCAGTGCAATTACAAGAAATATTAAAAAACATTTTCTCAGCAGGATAATCCAATGGTAGAAGAAGAAGAAAAAAACCCAACAAACCGAAGCCAGCAAGTTACTCTATAAAGCTGTTTTATTTCATTGATAAATGGCTCTAATTTATTGACCACTTCAAAAATCCTGCATGTCATCAGTAACTGTAACTGTACAAACTCACACTTAAACAGAAGTGAAAGTTTGCACAGTAAATTGGACTTTCACTCATTTCCTCAGATTATGTTAAAGAATCTCTATCTGACAATCCAGTACAGATTAACTTATTTTACACTAAAAGCGAACACAAAACACACAACTATCCCCCGCCCCACTCCCAACATCACACAAGCCAGTTCCAGATACACTCTTTTCCTGCGTAAACTCAGAAATGGATTTTGAGCTAGATTTGGCATAGTCGCAGAAGCAGCAAATCTCATCCTTCTGCCTGAATAACTAACATCTCCTTGCTCCTGACCCAGACGTATAACCTATAGTATCACTGTAAAAACTCTGCAGCATCTCCAAGTAGTAGTCTGCAACAGAACGTTAACATTCATAGCTATGGCAGTAAACCAGTCCAGTAGTCACTTTTCTTAGTGGAAGTTCAGGAGCAGAGGAGTTACCAGCACACTAAACCAAAATACTTGTGTGCATGGTAAGCAAATCCAACACTTCCTGGAAATGTCAGATCTAACCATATGCAGATGGACAGATCTACGCACGCTTAGTAGGCCCAGACCTACAGCAAGAAAGAAGCATCCAGCCCATCTGTTGCCACTACAGTGAAGATAGAGCTTGAAATGCTGTAAATGCACCACATCAAGCAGCTGTGCTGTATCTAGCAGACTGGCAGCTCTGAAGACTACAGAATTGTTTGTGAGGACAAGTACGAAAACTGGGAGTTTTAAGAAATAAACCAGCAAGGTACCAGGCAAGAACAGGTAGCCTGGGAGGAACACAGAAAAATTGTCCAAACAGACAGGTATCAGGTTAAATAAAATAAGCCCTGACAGAATTAAATCCAGCCAAGTACATCAAGGGCAACACGAAAAGCCTCTATAGGTATATTGGTAGCAAAACCAAGACGGGAAAATCTGGGCCCTTTCCAGAAGGAAACAAACGTGAGACTTGGTCTCTTGGGACACAGAGAAGGCTGAGGTACTCAATGACTTTTTTACCTCACTCTTCACTGTCAAGGGCTCAAACCACACGGCCCAAGTCACAGAAGGCAGAGGCAAGGACTGGGAGAATGAAGAACTGCCCGCTGGAGGAGAAGACCAAGTCTGAGACCATCTAAGGAACCTGCAGGCGCACAAGTCCATGGGACCTGTTGAGATGCATTTGCAGGTCCTGAGGGAACTGGAGGCTGAAGGGGCCAAGCCACTATCCATCTTATGTGAGAAGTCATGACAGTCCAGTGAATTTCCCACTGACTAGAAAAAGGGAAACATAACCCCCATTTTTAAAAAGGGAAATAAGGAGGACCCAGGAACTACAGGACAGTCAGTCTGACCTCTGTGCCCAGCAAGATCATGGAGCAGATCCTACTGGAAGCTATGCTGAGGCACATGGAAACTAAGGACATGATTGGTGACAGCCAACATGGCTTCACTAAGGGCAAATCGTGCCTGACAAATTTGGTGGTCTTCTACAACAAGGTTACAGAATCGGTGGATAAGGAAGAGCAATCGATGTCATCTACCCGGACTTGTGCATAGCCTCTGGCATTGCCCAGCACAACATACTTGTCTCTAATTTGACAGACATGGATTTAACAGATGGATCACTTCGGTGAATAAGGAATTGGCTGGATGGTGGCAATCAAAGAGTTGCAGTGAACGGCTAGACCTCCGAGTGGAGACCAGTAACGAGCG